TATTCCAATCATTGGTTTAAATGCATCTATACCATTAGATTTATAAACATTACCATTATCACTTCCAGCATTAACATTACCATTTTTATCAGTTTAGCAACTGATAGAATAGTATAGAACTAGAAATAATAAAGTATAGAACTTATAGAACTTATGTCAAAATATAAAACTGGTACTTTAACCGAAGATAGAATTGAATTAGTTAAACACTTACACCCAGAACTATAAAATTCTTGATCATTTTTATATTTTTCAAACATAATATCACCTTTAATATTAATAATAATCATTAAGTGATTAAAATTAAAGGTTTTGCACTAACAAAATACGAAGATTTGCTTTAAGATTTAATTTAAAGCAGGAATATATAATTTTGAATTAAGTTAGTTTTGCACAAAGTCTTAGGGGTTTCACCCAGTGGGGTTTAAAAATTCTACCAAATAAAAATAGCAATAAAATCATTATTTCTGATCGTTTTTCTGATTCAACTTTAGCATTTGTTTTTAATGTCTTGAGCACTTTGAGGACTTCATCAATTGAAAAATAATCTTCTACATTATTTACAAAACTATTGCTTACATTAGAAATATGTATTAGTCCTGTGTAATTATTTGGACATTTACAAAAAACACCAAAACTGACACTTTTAATTTATTTAAAAAATCTAATAAATCTTTATCATTACTTTGAAATAATAAACCTTTACCTAATCATAATTTAATTGATTTTTGAGCACCAGCACTTTATTAAAGTAATTAATTATTACAAGCATATGTTTTATAATCAACTAAATAAACCTAAATATGAAGTGGTATTTCAAATCTTAAAAAAGGTATAGATCAATTAATTAGTTATTTAAAAAACTGTTTATTTTATAATTTCACATATAATGGTGGGACTAAATGGACTTGAACCATCGACCTCACGCTTCGATGTCAAGGTTCATGCATCTTCCGAAATATTCCTTAGCCCTCCGACGACGACGACGACGACGACGAAGTTGCGTCGCGCGCGCTTACGAGTAATTTGACACCTCGGGGGGATGAGGGCCCGCATTCTCGACGCACGACTCTGCGAGATAACGTTCGGTATTGCGCATTAAAACAACCGATACATAGATGACTTTGAACTCGCCGGTGCTCTCGCACGAGGCTGGGGGATGGGGAATTCGCGAAGCTTCTCAGTGGGATGAGGAAAC